TCTCCTCCCACTGTAGACCACTGTCCTCCCACTGGAGACCAGTCCTCCCGCTGGAGACCACTGTCCTCCCACTGGAGACCAGTCCTCCCGCTGGAGACCACTGTCCTCCCACGGTAGACCAGTCCTCCTGCTGGAGACCACTGTCCTCCCACGGTAGACCAGTCCTCCCGCTGTAGACCACTGTCCTCCCACGGTAGACCAGTCCTCCCGCTGTAGACCTCTGTCCTCCCGCTGTAGACCAGTCCTCCCGCTGTAGACCACTGTCCTCCCACTGTAGACCACTATCCTCCCCACTGTAGACCACTGTCCTCCACTGTAGACCTCTGTCCTCCCCACTGTAGACCACTATCCTCCCCACTGTAGACCACTGTCCTCCCACCATAGACCACTATCCTCCCCACTGTAGACCAGAATCCTCCCCACTGTAGACCACTATCCTCCCCACTGTAGACCACTGTCCTCCCACTGTAGACCACTATCCTCCCCACTGTAGACCACTATCCTCCACACTGTAGACCACTGTCCTCCCACCATAGACCTCTGTCCTCCCCACTGTAGACCACTGTCCTCCCCACTGTAGACCACTGTCCTCCCACCATAGACCTCTGTCCTCCTCACTGTAGACCACTGTCCTCCACACTGTAGACCACTGTCCTCACCACTGTAGACCTCTGTCCTCCCACTGTAGACTGTCCTCCCACTGTAGACCACTATCCTCCCCACTGTAGACCACTATCCTCCACACTGTAGACCAATGTCCTCCCACCATAGACCTCTGTCCTCCCCACTGTAGACCACTGTCCTCCACTGTAGACCACTGTCCTCCCCACTGTAGACCTCTGTCCTCCCCACTGTAGACCTCTGTCCTCCCCACTGTAGACCACTGTCCTCCCCACTGTAGACCTCTGTCCTCCCATTGTAGACTGTCCTCCCACTGTAGACCACTATCCTCCCCACTATAGACCACTCTCCTCCCCACTGTAGACCTCTGTCCTCCCACTGTAGACCACTGTCCTCCCACTGTAGACCACTGTCCTCCCCACTGTAGACCTCTGTCCTCCCCACTGTAGACCATTGTCCTCCCACTGTAGACCACTGGCCTCCCCACTGTAGACCTCTGTCCTCCC